TCCTTTATTCTTTTTCTTTCTTTTTTTTTTTTTTATTCTTTTTCTTTCTTTCTCTCAAAAAAAAAAAAAAAAGAAAAATGTATTTGAATTAAAGAAAGTAGTCATGGAAATGCGCAGGTTATCTTTAATGACTAAATATTTTAAAGCCAATGGAAACTTACGTTTTACATTATATGACTATACAAGTTAAGGAAAATACTTCTGCTTTCAGACAATACTAGATCAAGTCAGTGTGCTAACACTGTTCATCCCATGTTGATTGACAGGTATATTTGTCCACCTGCCTGCCTTATTTCTTCTTTTCTCAGAAAGTATTCTGGCTATTCTTAGGCTTAATTTTCATTTGAACTTTAGGAAGAACTTGGCAGATTTGACAAAAACAACTTTTTGAAGTTACAGTGAAAGAGAACTAATATTTTTACAATATTCAGCCATCCTATCCAAGATCACATTGTAATTGGTCTTGCATGCTTTCATCATTTTTTAAGTCTCTTTTAACTCCCATGTGAGTTATACAGATTTCTTTTTAAGTGTATTTCTAGGTATTTATAACTTTCATCTTCTTACCAAAAATAGGAACTTTCTCCTGCTATGTTTTCTAGTAGGTTTTTGTTTGTATATAATATGCTATTGGTTAGCATATTTTTGTAGTCAGCCTCCTTATTAAAGCACTAATTGTTCCTCATCTACTATTTTTGCTTAACACATTTGTGTTTTCCAGGCATATTCAATCACTTTTTTAAATATTTAGTTCTATTTATATGATATTTCTCTGTGTATACACATTAGCTAGCAGATCCACAAGAATATTAAGTAACAGTGCTAATGGGTGACATCCTTGTCTTTTTATTATTTTAATGAGAATACTTTTAAAGTTTTACCATTTGGCATGTTACTGGGTTTAGACATATCTATCTGTATGTGTGTGTGTGTGCTTAAACACAGATATAAACATACACACACAGTCTCCCATATAACCCCATATCAATGTACCTCCAAAAGTCAGTAACATATACAAAGCTAGTAAGTGACATATATATATATATTGAGGTAATATTCATTTTTTCTAATTTTGCTGAGAGATTAAAAATAGTCAGAAAAAGACACTGAACTTTGCCAAATGTTTTCTGGCATATAGCTCTTTGCTCTTCTGATTATTAACATGTTGAATTTATTAACAGAATTCCTAATACTAAACTACTTTTGCATTCCTGAAACAAAATCCATTTTGATCAAACTGTATTATTCTTCAAATGTGCTTCAGAGCTAGTGTTCATATTTTACTTAGAATTACTGAGTTCATAGTCATAAGACAATGGTTTTCTTACTTTGCAGCATATATTAGGTATTTAACAGAAACTTGAGTGGGTATTTCCTATCATTTATTGCCCTGTGAACTCTGATGTTATTTTATGCACGTATACTCAAGACAATTAGGCCTTCTTGAGAATTGTGCCAACTATCATCATAAAACAATTTTCTATGACTTAAACGCTTTTTGCCTTGAAATCCATCTTATCTAATATCAATTTTCACACCCCTGTTATTCTTTATTAGCATTTGCCTGGTATTTCTTTGTCCATTTTGGGGGCACAATATGTTGTTCATTAAACAGTGTTCATAAATGAATTCAGAAACATTTCACAGTATCTATTATATGCCGGGCATTGTGCTAGGTCTGGAAATATAACAAGGAACAAACCAGATGAGGTTTCTGCTCACATGAAGTGTATATATAGTTATATACTAGTGACCAGAAATTTCCCATTGCCACCTAGACAACTTGCTGATTTTAATTTTATTACCAGTTATCTTGATAAACTGTGGAGTCCTGCTTTTGATTAGAAACCTGTGTGTGATTTTTCACACATAACCACAGGCAGTTACAAAGGCTTTCCACAGGAGACCTCAATGGGGCTCCCCTCCCCAAACAGACTCGGTATACAGCTGGTGCACCACAGTCTGAGGGGAGCTGCAGTCAAGGTCTCAGGCGCTGAGGCCAGCGGTCATACTTTTAGAATATTTGCATTTCTGTTCCAGAGCCTTCATTCCAAGGTCTCCTTATCTGAGACCTTGAGTGGAGCTTCTCTGCCAAGGCCTCCTTGTGGGGAGGCGTAGGAAACCCTGAAGACACTGACAATGCTGGAAGAGTATGCCACTCTGACTTCAGTCCCCAGCACTTTTCCACTCCTAGCCCTCCCTGCCTGCCCTCCCCTTAAGGCCAGGGATTCCCTCCACAGCGAGAGGGCCCTGACATCTACACTAATCCATGGGTAAATGGAACCAGGCAAGTGGTATTGCCTCTGCTCTTAGATTCTTGCCAGTAACACCACAGTAAGTGAGTAAAGGCTAACTTTTGTTTTTGGCTTGTTGCCTTAACAAGACTTTGTTAACATTGAATCTCTGAGGGCTGAGCTCTCTTTCCCACCTCTGCTGATCCCCTGAAAATAACACTGATTAATGACCTTAAAAAATTGATAGTTGGGCCGGGCGCGGTGGCTCAAGCCTGTAATCCTAGCACTTTGGGAGGCCGAGGCGGGTGGATCACGAGGTCAAGAGATCGAGACCATCCTGGTCAACATGGTGAAACCCCGTCTCTACTAAAAATACAAAAAATTAGCTGGGCATGGTGGCGCGTGCCTGTAATCCCAGCTACTCAGGAGGCTGAGGCAGGAGAATTGCCTGAACCCAGGAGATGGAGGTTGTGGTGAGCCAAGATCGCGCCATTGCACTCCAGCCTGGGTAACAAGAGCGAAACTCCGTCTCAAAAAAAAAAAAAAAAAAAAAAAAATTGATAGTTTCATTTATCTCCAAAGACATATTTTGTGTGTGTCTCACTTCCTCTTCCCACTCCAATTACATTATTATTTCTACACTGCAAAGCTTTACAACATTTTCACCTATTTTCTAACCACAGATTTTCTCCTAACACGGCAGCTTTGTTCCTGGGTTTTCTACTTTGATTCATCTCTTACTTAGCTAGATTAAGTGATGGAGTCATCCGTTCCAGAAAGACTCATGGATGTTACATTGCGTCTTTCATTTTAGGAAAATTTTTATCTATTTTTGTTAACAGTTTTTGTTCCACTGGAATCATTCTCTTCTTCAGAAGCATTAATGATATTTATCATGGATCACTCTGTCTTCAGCAACTATTATTTACTCTACAATATGTAACTGGAGAAAGAGAGAAAGAGATTATTTTAAAGCAGTGATGGTCAAAACCCCCAAATATGATGAAAATTATAAACAAGAAAAGCACCACAAGGTCCAAGCAGTACAAATAAAGAAAAGCATAAAAAGCACATAGAAATAAAACTTTTGAAAACATGTGATAAAGATAAAATCTTAAATGTAGATAGCAAAAGACACGATATATTAAGAGGAATGAAAATAGAAATTATCACAGACTTTAAGTCAGAAATTAAGCAATCTAGATAACACTGGAAAATATTAAAAGAAAACAAACAGATTTTTTAAAAATATCTTTCAAAATGAATGTAATCAAAGATACTCAGTAGGCCAGGCACAGTGGCTCATACCTGTAATCCCAGCACTTTGAGAAGCTGAGGTGGGAGAATCAGTTAAGCCCAAGAGTTTGAGACCAGCTTGGGCAACATAGTGAGACCCTGTCTCTCCAAAAAAGAAGAAAAAATCTGTAAAAATTATATTTCACAATGATGACAACATAAAATACTTTTTAAATCAAAAGCACCAAGGTAATTTTCCCTTTCCACATATACATGACAAGAGACACTAAAGGTTTTTCAAGAAGAAAAATTATATGACATGCAAACTTTGATCAAAAAACAAGAATAAAAAGTGCTGAAAACTGTAGATATAGAGATAAATATAAAAGACTTTTTGTGCTTTTTAAAAGTTCTTTAATAGATATTTGACTACTTAATCTAAAAATAGTAACAATGTATGTTGGTGTACATAACATTTGCAGTAGTAAAATGCAAGACAAAATAACAAAATAGACCAGTAGGGGAAATTGGAGGTATACTGTTAAAACTTAAACATAAAGTGGTATAATGCTATTTGAAGGTGGGCTTCCACAAGTAATAGATGCATACTGTAAACCCTAGAGAATCTAATAAGAAAATAAAACAAAGATAGATATAGATATGCAGATATTTAAAAAGACATTTCAGTTTACACTGAATATTATGACTAATTGTCTTAAAGAAAATATTAGTGAACCATACATACATGATTTTTAAAATAACGGCATCAAAGAAATTGATTAGGAAAAGGACGCTTTTCAGTAAATGGCTCTGGGACAACTTTATGTCTCCTTGTAAGAAAAGAAATAAATCTTGACCCATATCTCACAATCTACACAAAAAGTAACCTTAAATGTTCAAAGACCTAAATGTAAAAACTAAAACTATAAAATTTCAGAAAACAGGAGAAAAACTGAGTAAGCAGAGATTCCTTAGGACACAAAAAAATTGTCATCTACAAGAAAAAAAAAAGATAACATCTGTATTTTGACAGACATATTTAAGGAAAGAAAAAGATAAGCTAGGGAATTGGAGAAGAGATTTGTTATGCATATTTCTGACAACTGAAATCCAGAAAAGATAAGCCACTCTTACAATTAAATAATAGTAATACAAACACCCAAATAACAAAAATTGGAGAAGAAATGTATTGACAGAGAAGATATATAAATGGCCAATAAGCACATTAAAAGATACTAAATCTCATTAGTCATCAGGGAAAAGCAAATAAAAAACCACAATACCACTACATGCTCACTAAAATGGCTAAAATTTAAAAGAACAGCAATATCAAGTGTTGGCAAGGATTTGAAATTTGTCAGTTAAACATTAATAGTGAGAATGTAAAATGGTAAAAACAATTCAAAAAAACAGAAAATCTGGTATTTTCTCGTAAGTTTAATAAATTTAGGTATTATCCACAAGAAATGAACAAAGGAATACAGTAATGTTCACTGCAACTTTACTTGTAATAGTAAAAAACTAGAAATGACTAAATGTCTATAATAATGTGATTATCTATACACATATTGTAGTATATGATATTCTATTGTATGAAATATTACTCAACAATAAAAAAGAGCAAACTACTGATATACAACAAAACATGATGAATTCCAAAAACATCAACATTAAACAAGAGCAGTACCACTCAAAAGAATTACACTCTATGATTTTGTGATACACTACAAAGAGAAAATCTAATATATAATGAAAAGAATGTAGATCCATTGTGACCTGGGTTGGGATTGGAGACTGACAGAAATGGGGCACTAAGAACAATTTAGCATGACAGAAATGTTCTACTCTTGATTGTGAGGGTGGTAGTTACATAGTTGATGACTGAGTCAAAAACTGCCCACTTAAAATTACATACAATAAATGACATGTTTATTGCATGTAAATTATGACTGCATAAGAAATTTGTTTGTAAAATTTTTCAGGGCAAATTAGAAGAAAAACACAATTTCACTTTTTTTTTTTTTTTTTTTTTTTTTGAGATGGAGTCTCACTTTGTCACCCAGGGTAGAGTGCAGTGGCACGATCTTGGCTCACTGCAACCTCTGCCTCCCAGGTTCAAGCAATTCTCCTGCCTCAGCTTCCCTAGTAGTTAGAATTACAGGTATGTGTCACCACACCCAGCTAATTTTTTTGTATTTTTAGTAGAGATGGGGTTTTACCATATTAGCCAGGCTGGTCTTGAACTCCTGGCCTTGTAATCCACCTGCCTGGGCCTTCCAAAGTGCTGGGATTACAGGTATGCGCCACCGCACCTGGCCTATTTCACATTATTTTTAAAATAACTCAACATACATTAGTGTTTCAATACTTGTGCTGAAGTCATCACATGAGAAAAAGGTTAACCTTGACAGGTTTGCTAAAATATGATGCATTCAGTAATAGCAATGATTTTCTCCCTTGTTCATACTGCATGCTATATATAGAACACAAGTATTTAATAAAAGTAAGTACTTTTTTGAAGTTTAATACCACAGAACGAAGCATTTAGAAGTCAAACTTATCCTTGCACTCTAATTATTTCTGAGATACCAAAATATTGATCTCCCTCTCTAAAGCTGGATTTTTTTTTAAAGGATGATATCTTTTGAAAGGACACAAAATGTTCATTCCCTTCTCCTGAACTCTTAAATTTATATGTGACTTATCTTCCAATTAAGCCACCAGAAACCAGTATTTGTCAGTGTTTTTCAATTTCCCTTGCTACATACTCATTAAAACAATAACAATTACTCACCTCAATAGTCTTGGCAAGTAACTGTGTGTGTGGAAAATTATACCTGTATACTTCGTTAGCAACAGTGTTGACATCAATGGCAGCCACCACTTGTGCAGGTATACAGCTTTCTGTAATGATAAATGGAATACCTTGAAAAGAAAAGTCCTTAAAAAGTTCATTATAGAAAGAAATCAAAAGAGCAGAATTTAGTGACACATTTCCTTACTTCCTCACTTATTAGCCTGATCTCAGACTGCCAGTGAAAGGTCAGGCCTGGGGAAGCCAGGCATGAAGTGAAATATTTGAACATGGACTTCTGGTTCATCTCTCTAAACAGCATTCCAATGCTAAAGATAAGGTTTAAATATTTTAGTGCTTACCTCTTGTATTTGCTTTCCTCCCTCATGAAGATACACCCATATAAGTCAAATAGAAAGTTTTCATAAGTTAAAACAAACCAAAAATTGAAAAGTGAAGTATTCTAAAAGCCATGTGATTTGGAACTTTACATAAATAAATAATCATTTGTTCTGCACCCTCTCACATTAATACAAAGCTGCTTCACAGTACCTTTGAAAATGCTTTAAGGTAAGCTTTTTTAAATACTAGCTTTATTGAGATATAATTCACATTTGACAAAACTCACCCAATTAAAGCTTAGATAAGTTTTTAAATGAGATGAACAATTAATTGGCATCCAAATGTAAATAGTTCATAGACCAGCATTTTAAATGTTGACAGACCAGGAGAGAATATAAGAAGAATAAGGAAATAATTACAAAGGAATGCCTTCACTGTCATCTTGTCTTGCTGTTGAAGAAAAGCATTTGCAAAATGTTTTCAGATTCAGAGAAATCCAGCATATTCTTTAATGTTAGTCAAAACTGGAACTCTACAATTGTAGCTGTAGGTATATTTCACAATGACCACCCTCTTTCCTCAAACACGTAAAAAAGCAGTTATATGTATGCCCTGACTCAAGTCAGGAGAAAGTGTTAAGTTTTAAAAATAAAAGTATTCGAGACTTAAGAAAATTATCAGAGAAAACATTACAATATTATATAGTAGCTCCAAGTAGCCATTTCTTTAATACCATTTGCTGATTAATAGTTAGCTTCTTAGCTTAGTCCAAATATCAAAAGAAGGAAAAAAAAATGGTGTGAGGAGCTAGGACTCATGCAGCAGGCACCCGGAAATAAAAGCAGACCACAGGATATAGGGCAAGGAGAAAGGCTCACACACACTCAGAAAACAATCATAACCTTCCACTGAGGCCTGGAAGAAATGAGGCCAGGGAGATAACAAAGGCACAAATGTCTCCCAATTATTTATACCAAGTGCCTGCGAGGCTCTAGACACTCAGCTAGGACCAGTTATCCCCCAGGTATCTTGCTGAAAAGTTAGATCCCCTGTGTGCTGCAAGCTTGTTAGTCTACTTAGGAATGCCATAGGTAGCTGCCGCTTCTGCTTGTAAGTGCAGTTAACTAGTTACCGGCCTTAGTATAAAATAAATTTAAGGTTATAAATTATGTCTGTCAAAGTCACTGAATCTTGAAACATAAATTAAGAAGGCTTCTAAACAAAAGAAAATATTAGTGTATAAGGACCAATTTGTAAAACCACAAAACTATCAGAATTCAACTCAAGAATTAAGCTACTACTAATCATTGTAAGAGAGCTAAGAATTAAATACACTTCATTGTACTATTTTACTGTTTTGTTAAATAAGATATGTTGTAATCAGCAAGATGTAGCTTGCTTGTATTTCTACTATACATGAAGCAAACTGGGATAACCTGAGGTTGGTTAATAGGAGTTTTATCTTTTCTTCAGCCTGAGTGAAAATCTACAGTGATGTGCTGACTCTGTACTATAATCAATAATTAATTTTACGTCCTTGTGTTATATGCATGGAAGTCACAAAAAATGACAAAATCAACTGACAAATGAGTATTTAATGTGGTAATCCAAAACCTGATGAACTGAAAGTTCTTTCTCAGGAAAGAATAGATTTTTAAAGCCAATAAGTAAATGCATTGTTCGCAAGGATTGATGAACAAATTTTAGACTGTTATAAAATTAGGAGTGACTTACTGCACAACTTAAAAAGTTATTTCCATTAAGAGAGATGGATGTTACTGACACTAATTCAACTTGCCTTTTCAAAAATAGAATGGGGGCTGGTTATTGTTTCTAAGGAAAAGGTTAAACTTACACATAAGCTTTTGTTATTTTTGTTGTTGTTGTTGTTTTTTGAGACCAAGTCCTGCTCTATCACCGGGCTGGAGTGCAGTGGTGCAATCTCGGCTCACCGCAATCTCCACTACCTGGGTTCAGGCGATTCTCCTGTCTCAGCCTCCCACATAGCTGGGACTACAGATGCAGACCACCACACCAGGCTAATTTTTTGAATTTTAGTAGAAACAGGGTTTCACCACGTTGGTCAGGATAGTGTCGATCTCCTGACCTTGTGATCCGCCTGCCTCGGCCTCCCAAAGTGCTGGGATTGCAGGCAATAGCCACCACACCAAGACCAATTTATAGGTAAGTTTTAAAAAGCAAACCTGTCAATTCTGTCAAAATCTTCACTTGAACTCCAAACACAAGTTGTCTTGATATTTCTTAGTACACAGTTTATAATCTCCAAAATTCTTTTTTTTTTTTTTTTTGAGACAGAGTCTTGTTCTGTCGCAGGCGCCAGGCTGGAGTGCAGTGTGCAATCTCGGCTCACTGCAATCTCCGCCTCCTGGGTTCAAGCAATTCTCCTGCCTCAGCCTCCCGAGTAGCTGGGACTACAGGTGCACACCACCACACCCAGCTAATTTTTGTATTTTTTAGCAGAGACGGGGTTTCACCATGTTGGCCAGGATGGTCATGATCTCTTGACCTCGTGATCTGCCCGCCTCGGCCTCCCAAAGTGCTGGGATTACAGGCGTGAACCACTGCGCTTGGCCCAAAATTCTTTACCTTTAAGTTACATATGTAGATTTTGAAAATGTGTAACTAAAAATGTCAAAGTGAATATAATTCTATAGAATTTTGCCTATGTGAGCTCCATCCCTTGAGTGATCCATAAGCAGTGATTTTCAAAAACGAGAGAGAATTTGGGAAAGGGATTCATCAGTATCTTTTGGTTGAAATAGAGGAACAGGATGTGTTTTCAGTACTTTGACATATTACTTTGCCTAGATTTTATTCATGGTATTTCAGTTACTCTTCAGGGTTTCATATTTATTAAAAGGAAGCCTGATGTTTTTTTCTAAAAAAGTGAGATATCCTACTTAGAGAAACACAATTTTTGAGATAGCATCTCACTCTGTTGCCCAGGATGGAGTGCGGCAGCTCACTTGCAACCTCTGCCTCCTAGGTTCAAGCAATTCAATTCTGCTGCCTCAGTCTCCTGAGTAACTGAAACTACAGGCACTTGCCACCACATACAGCTAATTTCTGTATTTTTAGTAGAGAAAGGGTTTCACCACATTGGCCAGGCTGGTCTTGAACTCCTGATCTCAAGTGATCTGCCTACCTTGGCCTCCTAAAGTGCTGGGATTACAGGCGTGAGCCACCACGCTTGGCTGAGAAACACAATGCAAATTATTTTAAAAGACTGTTAGATTGGCTCTGTAAGGAATGCATAAGAACATCACACCTTCATTTATATGAGGACTAAATTTAAAAGGTAGATTTAGTTATTTCAAGAGAGTCTTCTAGGTGAGATGTAAGAGATGTCACTGAAAAATATATACATAATTATTGCTCTCAATATGCTCCATATCAAAGTAGACAACACACACACACACACACACACACACATTTGAAGAGCAATACCTTGCTTTCTTTTTCTGATGATTCTTTCTGGAAAAGCTGTAGGGAAGAACTTTTTGCTGGTAGTAGTGAAAAGGTTTACAAGTTGACACTCTTCTTGACTTTCCTAACCAAATAAATCAAAAAATTTAACTGTTCTTGTATAGTTATTAATGTGGGGGGAAAAAATCAATATTTATAAAACATAAATGCAAATGTAAAAAATGTAAATGTAAAGATGTTATGTTGGATAATATAATGCAGTTTGGAGTTTTGAGGAGGACTTTGAGAAAGAAAATTAAGGCATAACCAGTCCACTTTGAAATAAGGAAAGAAGTTTTTAAAAATTCTGTTCCTTTATTATTATTTATTTTCTAATCTATATCTCATATAGATGAGCAACTACTGAATTACTCATTATAACCACACCTGAGACATTTAATCAGGTATGGTAACACTGACATCTAGTTGTAAAATGAAAGATGAGCTGAATACATCCAGTGTCCTTTCATTCAAAGTGATAGTTTAGGAATAAAAGTACAAAATAACATACAGGCCTATAAGGATCTGAACTTAAAATTGCTGACAAATGTTTTATCACTATTAGTAAAGTATATTGCTGGGCTCTTTTTAAACGTTCTTGCATTTTACTGGGCATGGTGGCTCATATCTGTAATCCCAGTACTTTGGGAGGCCGAAGCGGGTGGATGACTTGAGGTCAGGAGTTCAAGACCAGCCTGGCCAATGTGGTGAAATCCCATCTCTACTAAAAACACAAAAATCAGCCGGGTGTGGTGGCTGGCGCCTGTAATCCCAGCTACTCGGGAGGCTGAGGCAGGAGAATCACTTGAACCGTGACGCAGCAGTTGCAGTGAGCCAAGATCATACCACTTCACTCCCGCCTGGGCAAATGAGTGAAATTCCGTTCCAAAAAAAATTTCTCTTTCCATGTTCAGTGCAGAGAAAACCTGATTTGTGGGAATCATCATGAAGTAACACTGCATTAATGCTTAATCTTTTCCTTCTACTTATAATTGTCTATTAGGAGAGAAACTAATACCATTTCCCAGACAAAGCTGGACCTTAGGGGAAATACTACCGTGCTTTTTTTCATGATAATCAATCTTCAATTCCCTTGTCCCTCTTCCCATTTCAAACTACCTAGCAATATGCTAAACTCAACACTAAGCAAACTAATACTTACGAAAGAGTATGAAAGGTGGATAGCAAACATCACCTTTTTCCTATTACAGAACTCAAGGAACATCACAATTTCTCCTTAGTGAGTGCTCAGTCTCTTTGAAATAAATTTTACATCAAATTAAATTTTACTAATAAAATTTTATTAAGTTTTACTAATGACTCAAAAATATGATTTCTAGTTATACCATCTGTGCAAAAATTATGTGCATATTCCAACATTTGTTTCTTCCTCCTCTTCAACAACCAAACAACAAATTTATTCACTGTGGCAATGTACCCTACTAAAAGGATATCTGCCACCCCCTCTACAGCTAGATGCAGTCATGGACTAAGTTCAGACTCATGAGTGTTCTAAAAAGGAAGAGAGTGGTAGTTCTGTATGCTTTCTGGCCTTTCCACTGGAGGTTTGGAAAGCAGATGTAATGACTGTAGATCCGTTTGCCATGATGGACCATAAGGATGATCCATGTGCTCTCATCACACTCTGCAGCTCACTCTACTGTCGCATTTTTCCCAGGACAGTGGCCCTCTCACTAAACTAGTCAATCAACTCAGTGCAAACACCACATCTCATTCATCTGGGTACCTCAGCACCCAGGCATTGCAGTTATTGCCACAGAATAGCCCGTCAATAAATGTCTATTGACTGAATACATAGAAAAGAATAAGTGAATTATAATTCCTAAAATCAATTCCTGATTATTATTGATTACCCTCTTTGTTGTCCTGTTTCTGAGAACACTGCTAGCTTAAAAAGTATTTAATAAGCCTGAACTTATATGACTATCTCAATGCTCATTTTTGAGTAATTGTTTGACATTTAGGTCAAATTTTTTATCTCGGAAACACCTACAATGAAGTTCCCAGGATAACCTATGAAATTCTATTTAACTTAACAAATATCTTAACTATAATCCCAACAGTGCTATTGTCAGGCAGTAAGTAAATACCTGTGAGATTACCTATCATGTACTGAGCACTCTACTGAGGATACAAAATGAGTGAACATTTGTTTTCCCTTTTGCCAGCATCCGGCCCCTCTTTTTCTGGCAATAGTCCCAGATTTTCTTTGGGGGAATCTTACCTCACTTGTGCTCTGTTGAAATGGTTCAGATGGCCTCAAATCCCCCTCCCCTTGCTTCTAGAAGCCTGGGGTCAAGTGCCTGAGTGGTTTCAGACTAGCCAGAGTGGTTTCAGGATGGGCATGCAACTCAAAACAAGCCAATTAGGCACAATCAGGGAGACCCCTGGCTTTTTCTTGTGTAACTATTAATAGCAAGAGTTGCTTGATCTTTCTTACCAGGTTTAACCTTGGAAAGATATAAGGTGGGAGGCTACTACAGCCATTTTGATTCAATAAGGGGAGAACATATATAAAAATGCATCTAACCTAGAATAAGCAAAGCTGAGATATATGGAGAAAAAACTTGTTTCTGGTGACATGATTTGAGCCCCTGCTTCAAGCTCTACTCCTAACTGGCCCTACATTTGGACTTGGTCAATTAAAGGAGTCAATATTTACAACTTTAAGGAAACCAGTCTGAGTTAAGTTGCTGTCACTTGCTAATAACAGTTCTAAGTGGCATTCAAGTGAACACACACAAATATGCCATTTGTTCCTATGAGGAAAAGCATTTCAAATTCCAAACTGGCAAACAGAGCAATGTGAATGCAAAAGTCCCCTAAATAAGTAACTAGTTAACCATGCATCAACAAAATAGAAGTACTCTTCTTGATAAAGCACTACACAACTGTCCTAAATTGAAGAAAGAAGGTCAAGAGACTTCAATTTGGGGAGTGAAGACTCCCTTGTTGTAATACCCAATTACCTATTTCTATATGTGGATACTAAATACAATATCGAGAAAGAGCCACTTATAAGCTATAGCTCCCATGTCTTTTAAGGGGCACAGAATATTTTCAGTTGCCCAGCAACATCAATTCTTATAAAGTTCAAGTCCTAAAACAGTTAAAATGGAAATTTCATTATAAGCAATTCAAAAATACCAAGTTTTAAATGATCAATATACATATAAAAGATGCTGAGCCTCACCAACAATGACAGAAATTCACATTAATCAGTTTTACCTACCAGATTGGCAAAGACTGAATAAATGTACACTGTCTAATGCCAGCAAAGATTTAAGAAAATCTGCACTCCCTCATATCGTTTGTAGTATCAATTGATAATAATTCTTCTAAGTATTAGACCTAGTTATACTACACCTGGAAATGTTTGCTAAGAAAAAACGCAGACAAGTATGTA